TTCTCGGAGAAACATGACGTCAACATTTCTGCAAAATGTGCCTCTTTTTTTTTTTAAAATACAGTCATCCGTTCGAGATATTGCTGTATGAGTGATATTTTGGTGTTTGTAGCATCCCGTAGCACGCTTTTGCCGTGTGTTTTGGGGAATCCAGATTTCGGTTCAGCATCCCTTTAAGGGATAGTGTGACAAAATCTTAACGCCTTTTTTTTTTTTATCTAAATGTCAGATGCGTCTTGGCCACGCCACGGAGACACCAATGTTTTGCTCGAAAGGGCACTGAAACATTATTCAGAAAGAACAAACCGAATGTCGTTACATCACCCTGAACTTAAAAGCAGTGCCTCTCCGCGGAAGTACGGCGGCAAACTGCGTGAGCGCAAGCCCAGTCAATCTTGGCCAAATCGGGTTTCCTTTCTCTCCCGAGTCTATTGAGCACCTTGTGCAGGGAGCGGCAGCTTAAACGGCCAGGTTGTAAGGCGTTCGCCCCCAAGTCCTCATCCTCACAACTACTCCTGACCTCATTCATTCTCTAAGATTTTTACCAGGCCTGAGTAACCACTGCTTTGTTCACTTTACACTTGAAGGCAATTCTCATAGCCTTAAGAGTATGCCTAAACATATACGGGATTACAGCAAAGCTAACTACCCTGATATCAATGATGAATTGGCACAATTTCTAAACGAATAATTTTTCTAATCGTACTATAGAATCCAATTGGTCTATATTTAAAGTCAAAGTTAATTATCTTGTAAACAAATACATACTCCTATGAATAATTCTGTACAAAAACCGGTCCCCTTGGTTTACTGTTTCTTTAAAGCACCCGTGAAATAAAAAGAAACGACTGTTCCGCAAAGCAAAGCAGTTCAATAAACCTGACTTGTGGTGTGCGTATCGGAATGTTGCAAGCCTCTTTAAGAATGAAGTGGAAAAAGCCAAAAACATATTTTTTAATGTTACCCTACCATCCTTATTGACAAATGACACTAAGAAATTTCGGAATATAATTAGTGGACAAAAAAAGAGTTTGATATCGCTAGTCGATCATAATAGAGTCCCAGTTCCAAGGTCGAAGAGTTCATCTTTACTAAATGATGTGTTTTCTGTCTTTTTTGCCACTTTTTTTTGTTTCTTGCCCTGAATATGATATTGCAGCCTTTCCACTTATGGATCCTGTTATAACTGATTGCATTGGTGTGCTTAGTTTAATAAAAAAAATTTGAAAGTTTCTTCTTCATCTGGAACTGACGGGATTATTTCTAAATTTCAGAAAAACACTGAAATGCACTCTTCTGTAATACTATCAAACTTTTCTCACAGTCCCTAGATCTTTGTTCGTTGCGCAGCGATTGGAAGGTGGGTGAGGAGGTGCCTTTGTTTAAATCAGGGGATGCTCACTCTCCTCTCAATTACATCTTTTAACTAGTGTCTCGTGTAAAATATTGGAGCATATCATCTATTCTAACCTACCGTAATATCCCGAGTCATCGCCCATCCCCGAGCCATCGCCCACCCCATTTTTTGGGCCAATATCGATTTCCGAAAAAACACCGAGTCATCGCCCACCCCTTCAAATACCCCAGCGCGGACTCTGCGATCCGCGAAAACTCATCCTACCCGAATGACGCGGCCGCGGACCTTACAGTTGGAGGACGTCCGTGACAAAGTAAAACGAAGGAGGGAAAGACACTTCTTTTTGTTTACGCATTTCCTCCGTGAGCGACCCCAAAGTGGTCGTGTATCCGTGCGAAAAGAAAACGATGGAGATAACAAAATAAGAGTTTGTTAACGTAACCGCGGAGTGTTAGGTCAAAGTCTGTCTCCGCCGAAGTAAGGTCACCGCGAACCCGCTCCTTCTTCCCGCCCGTCGCGACCGCGGTTGTGCAATATTTTAGGCAAAGCGAAAGCGTAAATAAAGATTTGCTGGAACGTCCTACACAGACGTTTGCAGAGCGTCCCAACCGTGCATTGATAGCCCGCCGTGCACGGACGCACGTATGTACGCACCAAACAAGTTGCGCAAGAGCTTGCCCGACTTGGCCCGACGCCAAAGTATTTGCCAACGCGACCGCCGGCTTTCCCGCTTTCCCAGCATTGCTCTTGGTCGCTTCTTTGGTCCGCTCGCTCGCTCGCTCGTTGCGCCTGGTCGTTTTTTTCTATTTTCTTGTAGACTTTTCTTTCTTTTTTTTTTACTAACTAGGATAACATAATGGTGACATTCTTTCACGGAACAAACGTTCGCGCTATATGCAGATCGGCGGTGTTTCTAGCGCGTATGGAAGCAACGGACTTCGCTAGAGGAAAATATTCTTTCGTGAGCATTTTTTTCTATAAAACAATGAAACTAAATCGAGTTTTGAGTTTGATGTATCTCTTGTGCATCAGCGCTAGATACGCAGAGAAAAATAGGCGGTTTTTTCCGCTTTTTTTTTCAAGTGTTTGTGCCCACCCACCGAGACATGGCCCACCCCACTTTTTTAACGAATTTCAGGCGGTAGGGGGGTGGGCGATGACTCGGGATATTACGGTAGTTAACTTTCTTGAATCCAACTCATTTTTCACATATCGTCAGCATGGTTTTCGTAAATTATTCTCATGTGAAACACAACTGGTTTGTTTTACGAGCAATCTTTTTTCCCCTGCGCTAGACAATAATCTTCCAATCAACTGCATATTTCTTGATTTTTTGAAAGCCTTTGATTTAGTCCTTCACCAACTGCTCTGCTTAAAATTTAAAAAAAAACTAGACATTGACTCTGACATTCTTGCATGGATCGAAAACTTTTTCTCTAACGGAACACAGTTCGTATCTGCAAACGACTCAGACTCTCTTCCCTGCCCAGTAAGTTTGGGTGTGCCACAAGGTTCCTTCCTTGACCCCCTTCTTTTCTTCATATACATAAATGACCTCGTTAACAATGTCCAGTCATTCATAAGGTTGTTTGCAGATGATTGTGTCATTTATCGTGTAGCCCATTCTGACACTGATACATCTTTCTTGATTCAATTACTAACTGGTGTGACGTCTGGAAAATGCGCCTTAATGCCAATAAATGTAAAGTAATGAGAATTTCACGGAAAGCTGCCTGTACTAATCCTCCCCAATATAACATTGGTTCTGTTCTTGAACAGGTGACATTGTACAAGTACCTAGGTGTTCGTATAACATCTGACCTCTCCTGGCAAACTCGCATTATTTGATTGCTAACAACACTAATCGCATGCTAGGTTACTTACGTCGCAACTTCTCAAGGGCTCCTTTATCATTAAAACTACTGCCGTACAAGACTCTAGTTAGATCCAAGCTTGAGTATGCAAGTTCAGTGAAGGACCCAGGCCATGAATTTCTTATTAATCAAATTGAATCCGTACAGAATCGTGGCGCACGTTTTATTTTGTCTAATTTCTCACCTTTTTCCAGTGTATCATCCATGAAACTAACTTTACATCTTCCGAATCTTTCATTGCGTAGAAAATTATCTCGTTTGTCCTTATTTCACAAAATTTATCATCGCAACCAGCATCTAAGTGAAGAGCTTGTTTCTGAGCCATCATATGTATCCCATCGAAATGATCATCACCATAAAGTCAACGTGCCTTTCAGTTGCACGAAGCACTTTTTTGATTCTTTTATCCCAAGGACTTCTAATGACTGGAACCATTGCCACAGTCACAGACGCTCCTGCATTCAAGTGTGCCATTGAAAACTATTATGTTAATTAATATGTGTTGAATTCTATTTTTAGTACTTTTGTTTTTTCCCCACTCCCTTCTGTAACGCCGTGTGGCATTGAAGGTATTGAAATAAAAATAAATAAGTAGCCAAGCTCAAGTTGGCGCTTTGTTGCCCCTCCACACTCCCCGCAGAAGTTAAATAGACACGAGAGAGGAGGGAAATCCGGTTCAACCAAGATTGACTGGGCTCGTGTGCAGGCAGCTTGCTGCCAAACTTCTGCAGAGCGGAGCAGCTTTTAAGACCAGAGTGAAGTAACGACCTTCTGTTTATTCTCTTTAAATAATGATCCCGTGTCCAGCAAACAAAATTGGTGTCTCCGTGGTGTGGCCAGAACTTTGTTGACAATTAGAGAATGAAACAGGCGCTAGAATTTCATTGCAGCGTCCCGTTTATGCAACCCCAGGAAACTCTAATGAAGGCTGATCCCCGGAAAAAAAGAGGCAAGAGGGGAGAGAACAGGAACTGCACGGCCGAAGCGTTCCAAGGGAACCAATTTAGTCCACTCGACGAGACTGTGTGGCGGAAGTCAAAATAAAGAGAAAGTGCAGGAATAACAAATAGATGTAGAGGCAGAAGGTCAAAGGAAGGGAGGGGTGCCGACAGTCGGCCCTCTCAAAACACTGCTAGGCGCAGAAAAAGCAGACGGCAAAATCCACAAAACCTGTGGTGGGTCAACCGGTCAGCAAGCAATGCATTAATCAATGCTCTGCGCACACGGTCAGTCTGCAGTGGGGAACATTTGTGCACACTTTTGAGACTGCCAAAACTTGTGAATTTCAATCGCAAAAATTTGGTTACAGTTTTTAACATGAAAAGCACATCTCGGCTGTTTCCAATGCTGGAGATATACGCCTGCGTTTCTGGAGTTGTAGCATGTGTAAGTTCCAAACACTAGTAATAGGGCCTTCTGTTTAGTCAACCGACTTCGCTACAGAGAGGCTTAGAACGGTAATCTTTACAGAGCAAACAAGAGTAGTATGAATGCGCAGGCCACCCCAGTTTCTACCTCATTATAGTAAACGCTGCAACAAGGTCAAAAATGACTCGCAAGATTAGGCCTTAGAAGAATGGATATCTCCCGAGACAAAAGCCCATTGTGTTTGCACTGGAGAACTTCCTTCCTCCAGCCGTTCCCATTCCCGCCCACGGAAACGTGAGAGTTTAGCGGGAGCCGTCGTCCTCGCATTTCTTTTTTCGTCCGTTCTGGCGCATTCTCGACGGGATCCAGGAAAGTGCGAGATAAATCGAGCAATGACTCACCACTCCATGACAACCAGGAGGCATCGGTTCCCACCATAGGCATTCTCGTAGACGTCTGCAATGTTGACAATGTGCTTGCAGTTGCTCGCCCGCCAGTGTAGATCCACTTCTCTGCGAGCCTTCACATTGTCCCTCAGAACCTGCGGATGGATGGATTGATGGATATTTCAATTGGGTGGCACCTTGCGCCACCTAGTCAGTGTTATGATAATGGGAGCGGCAGAATTCCCCTTCGTTGTTTTTAGTCAACAAAAAGCTTACATTAAACAAATATTAAAAAAAAAGAAAAAAAAGTGCCAGTTTTTTGTGCAGCCTTTTTTGTAGTAGCCTTCATGCAGTTGAAAAGAAGGCATGGGACTCATTGCAAAAATTTTTGTTTTTCGAGGCATCATTTTGAGGAAAGCTGTATTACATGTTAAACAGTAATGTTTTGCATTGCAAACCTGCCCGAGGTTGTTTAGCCATCTAGTAGCATTAAGAGGAAAGTCAGCCTGTCTAGTCTAGAGTTATACAGAATGTATTTTTTCAGGATTTACAGATTTGTCTTAAAAAAGCCATGGAAGCTACACCATTTTGATTTGTGCAGGCGAGTTTTACAGCTGGGAGAAACATCTTTTATAATCGGTGTTAATATTGTTTACAGTTTCTTTGGATTTGCTGTTTCGTAAAGTTCATGTATAAGCTTTTTTACAGTGCCTTTTGGGTCTATTGTTGTTTTACTTGAGATATATGCTGTACTCACAGGACACCCTCTCCCCTACCCCCTTCAAGTAATGTCCTTCAATGGGCTATTGTGGTATCGTGAATAAATAAATTAATATGCAGAGCTAATCTTTGACAGAACACCCACACACGCACTTTATTACACCGGTAGCCTTGCTCCCGAGACATGAGTGGTAACTTTGGCGCTCCACCGCGCTCAGTCTTTCTAAAATCGATTTATTGTGTGGTTTTCAATGATGCTCGGCTAGTTCCTAATTGAAACCGTACGTTTATTTTCACTAATTAAAAAGTTAATGAACATATTTTAGCTAATTAGCCGTATTATCGTGACGATTAGCCGCCCTCTATCATGTCTCCCTGGCTGTATAACCCACCTGTGCAAACTGCATCAGTGTAGTTTTTAAGGCATTTTTTAAAACAAATATGTGAAGAAAAAAAAAAAAAAAAGCACCCTGTACATCATGCACATATGCCATATGTAATAGATTAAGCTTGGTAGACAAACAAAAACACACTCGGCCATTTCAGCTCCACAGCTGTAAAGCGTTGGTGCAACACGTAAAGACGGAAGTACTTTTGTTCCCAGCTGCCCTATCGTCTGACTGAGCCACATCAAGCGTGTCTGAACAGATTTCTTACGGGCCAAGCACCTCGCTCCAGGAACGCAGCTCTCTCTATCCTCGATAAAGCAGCTCTTGGGTACCCAAAACAAAGCCAAAACACGCGAGCATCGTTAAGGAGGCAGAGCGAAAGCTGCCCGCCAGATGCAGAAGGCAGAGCAAATAGCTCGGCTAGTAGAAGATAAGGATTCTTACAGGCCACTGCTAAAAGGGGCAGCTGTCAACCCCGCTGCATTTGCCCACACAGGAGAATGTAGTGCTTTTGCTTTCTGAAGGTTATCCTTCCACAAATGTGCAGCGGTAGGGCGCAGTTCTACTGTATTAAGCTGGTTTGAAGTGGGGGACAGTCTTCATTTGCTTCCGTTCCAGTGCGGCGGCCCTGGGCCTCTAGAATGCAGACAAGCCCCAGGCCTCGGAAACAAACCTGGATTCTCTTGGCTTCAGTGAACTGCGGCGACATAAATCAAACCCCAAAATATTGCTTTTATGCCCATTGGGAAGTGTCCTTTGCCCTTCTTCCTCTTCAGTTTTAACAAGTGCAGAAAAAAAAAGAAGAAAAAACAGAAGGATGAAAAAAAACTTTGTTTCGACAAGAACAGCAGATTATTTGCTTGTGTCGAACGTATGCATTTGCAAATTGCAAGTGTATATGTGAGCTGTGACGTTGAGAAAATGTTCTCTCAATTAAGATACTTCCAAAGACTGAACGGGTTTAGGATAGAGACAGAGATGCTGCGCATGCGGAAGATTGTGACAACAACGAGGATTTATGAAAGGTTTTAAGCCCCAAGTGAGCTCGTTTAGACGTTCCAATGCCAGTGTTTGATAAAGTATATCTAAAAAGTAATTGAAGTAAAGCACAAAGTAAATGACAGGTTATGTAGGTTTTGTACAAGTACATAGAGCAGAATGTACTTGAAGTAATGTACTATAAATACAATGTACTTTTGAAGTAAAGTACAAGTACTTTTTAACACTATCTTTCGTGATGCCCTTTCATTCCTTTATAGTTTTCCTTTTTTAAACTGTATGCATTGCCCCAGGGGTAATCGAGGGTGCACCAGTTATTTTCGGAAATGGCAGCAAATGTTGGATAAAGTCAAGTGGCCACAGAGCAGTTGTTTTACTCTCACTGACAAACTATTTAACAGAATCAACTTATAAGGCACTTATTTGTTGACAAGTCGTCATTTTGTGATACAGATTTAACATGACCAAATTCGGGGAATGTATTTCCAGGTCAGGAGTTGCACTTCCCTCAAAAAGTACCAGAAAAAGATACTTTAAATAAAGTACAAGTACATACTCAAAGGACGCACAACTTGTCAACACTGTCCAATGCTATCTCATGTACTTTAACAACTTAATTGTAAAAAAAAAAAGGTTTCGTGGACTGAAACAGAGTAATTTATTTTATTGTTAATTATACTTACCCTATATATTTTTAAATATAACCTATAAAACCCGAATTCCAGAATGCTTTCTCGAAGAACCCGATTACCAGCTTGGAACAAAGGCCCGGTTTTGACAATTCAATCTTTTTTAAATATAAAGCCCAAGAACGAAGGGCCCTAGTTATGCAATATGCAAGTAAAGCATATCCTGCCGATAATTTTACACTCGTAATATAATGCAGTAATATAGGTTGCAGGAACATCAAGGAAGGACACAAACAAAATGAGTAAACACATGGTGTTCTCGACATAAAGTTGTACATGTAACTGAGTGCACCTCCAGCTCAAGGATGCACACTGACAACAGCTAAAACCTGCTGTCTTGACAGGTGGCTCTGTTATGGCAGTCGGAGACTGCCATGACAGAGCATCTCGTACCCCCATTTCTAATGCAGCAAACTTTTTTGTTCTTTATGGAGGTCACTTCCTAAGAAATGTGCAACGTGGCAAGGCCATGGAGTGGATGATGCAATCTCAGCATTGTGTTAGTGTGGCTTCCCTTGTCTCATGGTATCTATCACTGTGAACCGACGCATCAGGATGGCCCATGCAAGGGTCTCGGCTGCCCATGATCAAAAATGAAGCCTTCACACGTTATGTGGCAAAACTCTAGCAGACACTCACAGTGCTTTGCGTTCGGTGATCAAGCAATAGACTGCCATACAGTTTCTCATTGAGCTACTCAATTTCGTGAAGTGGAAGCATAAACAACGAGATGAAGCCAGAGAGGCCAGAAACAGCAATTAATGATTGAAGATTGAGAGTTGTCACAAACTGCAACGAAGACCTTCGAACAACATGAAAGGAAATTGCAGCACCTACTGCAATTTCGCAGAATATAAGTATTTCATACTTTCATAAATACTTCGTAGGAAGAGAGAGAGAAGAGAGAGGAAGAAAAAAAATTCGGTCATGTGGTTGCCTCATAATTTCACAGCTGCACAACAGAATCGAGTGAACAACGCAAAATTCCTGAAGCCCAGATTTAATCCCGGAGGCGACTCATTTCTGCAAATGATTGCTGCTATTGCTGAAACGTGGGCTAAGGGCTACGGATTGGAGTTCAAAGCAAAATTCAGCAAGTCCGAAGGGTGATCTTCCTCGCAGGTGTCTACAGGCAGCATGAAAGGCGAAGCCAACAATTATCTTTGCACGTGATCACTTTAGCACTATACCGTCAGACACAGTACTATGTGGAACAAGTGTTACAGTAGCCTATCGCAATGACTTCCAGCGAGAGTTGCACAGAAAAATGCGCAGAGACCGACTGGACTTGCCCAGGGATGGACCGATCACAACGAAGGTGGCGAAAGACTTGCAGGAGTCATGATGGGAAGTGTTACCTCGTGTGCCCCTTAGCACCAGCATGAGTCAACCCATAGTTTCGGTATGGTCTGCCAGACATTGACTTTCACAAACAATGCAAGTGCATGCATTGTTGCTTAACCACAATCCCGGATCATCCCGCAGCATTCAGAAGCAAAGCGACAACATACGTCGACTCTAAAAAGACTTTTTCCGACACTTGAAACATGCATAAATCGAATTGGAGCGAGTCTCTCATGATGTCACCACCGTAGGAATGTCACATTGTGTGGAAAATATTCAAAGAAACTCCTGATAGGTGGAGGGAGGAGGAAAACCTTTATTTGTCTTAGGGTAGATCAGCTCACCCTAAGCTCAGCTTTTTCTATGACTATGGGCAGTGACATGAGCCCCTCGGAGTCCCTGAACCAAGAAACCCGGGCTCTGGATGTTTTCCAAGAGATGCGCTATCGCACGAAGCTCTCGCGGACGCCACTGCCAGGGTTCTTCCGGCTTTGGCGCCGGCCCGATCGGCCGGGATTAGTTATTCGACACGGTGAATGCCCAACGAGCGCCCTTGAGAAACGCGACAACAAACCGGCGCTCTACAATGCAAGGTGAACGCTACGCCTGACGAGTCGCCGTACGCTTTTTGTTTCCTCCCACGCCGACGAGCACGCCACTTCCACGTTGACGACCTCCCCACGCATGTTGCAGGGGGCTATCGCAATGCACGCGGCAATACATCACCGTGGAACCGTGAAAGGAAAACAACATAATCTGCAACGCGACGCAATCACTATTCCGCCGTCCCTCGGCAGCGTGTAGTTACCGGTTCTTGGGTGTCTACGCGACGCGAGTTCAGTGATCCCGCGCACCTTCGCGGACCCCTTGCCCGTGATTCATGGCCGAGGGGCGCGAGCTCCATGCGGGGAGCCGTCCTCCAAAAGGAGCTTCCCGCGACGACGACGCACTGTCGCCCGCAGCTTTCCTTCCTCGAGGACTATTTTCCGCGGCGGGCCTTTTCGGGGCGACCATTATCGCTCGCGTCAGTGCCGTTTCCTCTCCTGTCTGTAGCCGTAATCAGTGGTCGCGGGTACGAGACGACCCTGAGGCGTCGAGCAACGCCCGCCCGGACACTGCCGACCGATCACACGGGACAAAAACGCCGCATCGGCCGGCGCAAAACAACGAACGTCTATGCGGTTGGGCAGAAAATTTGGCCGAGGTCGCCGCTTCCGTTTCTCTTACTTTCTTTTTCTCCCTCGTTTTGTTGTCGTCGGGGTGGGTGGGCTATCCAGTGACACGCACGCACCAAAATAACCGGGGTCCGCGTACTCACTTTGAGGGCGAACTTGGACCCGGTCGTCCTCTGGTAGCACTCGACCACTTTGCCGTTGATGCCGAGGCCGAGTACCTGGTCGGAGATGGAGTAGTCCTGGGTGATAGGCGACGACTTCGGCACCAGCGGCGGCCGCGCGTTGCCCAACTTAGCGAAATCGTTCATGTTATCGCCGAGCGTGTCGAGCACCGTGCCGAGAAGGCTGTGCAAGTAGTGGACCACTTGTCTCAGGACGACGGTGACATTGGCGACGTTGCGCTCGTCGAGCACCTGCGGGCACAGCTGCGGCCCGACGAGTAAGCGATGCGGCTGCGGCAAAACCCGGAGATGACAGCCTCCGTCGACGAGCGATGAAATTCCCCACTCGCCAAGCTCCATACAAGTGAGGAAGCAATCGTGCCGCAACGGTACGAGCAGTGCCCAGTGCCGCGGTACTTGCGGCTGACTCGATGGAGCGGTCGCAGCTGTGCGGCTGGATACCTCTCTAAAAACGCGCGAAATCATGAGTAGGGCGGTAGGTAGTGCCATCTGACGGCTTTACATTCATCGTCGTGAGTCATTTTCCGGCCGCCATGACAGGGAGCTGAGAACACTTCCGGTATGGTGCCCGGAATGCAAAGTAATACCCCTGTCAGACGGCAGCTAAAATGGCATTTACGCCAAATGACATTCAGGTTTTCAAATGACATTCAGGGTGGGACCTGCCAGACGACAACTAAAATGACATTTAAGTGATGTCTATTACGATTACGATCGCAAATTCGTCTCGTGCACATAGAACACGTTTTCGTCAATAAACAATTTTAACACGGCAAAACACTTGTTTTTGTGTGTTTTGTCTGCTGGGACAAGAAAATATAACAAAAAACTGGGATAGAAAGTTGCGCTCACTAGTTTCTGACGAAAAAATAAAGCGAAGCGTGGGGCGAAATCCATTAGTCAACCTAACGTCGTCATAAGCCGATCCGTAAGCCGGGCCTCCCGCGCTCCGCCACTACAGCTGACAGCTTGCTCGCACAGTTCTTTCGTTAATTTCGGTAGTGCTTGCTTGCTCTGGTTGTCCCTCACGCTCGATCTTCGGCTGCCGTGCTCACTTCTACGTCTGCGAGGGATCCTGGATGCCGTATTGCGCTTCCGCCGTCACTATCACGGCGGTATGAATTGATCTTGGTTCGAGCGTCTCCCCTGTTGAGAAGGTCGTCCATCATCTTCGTCGTAGAAGCATTCCGCGAGCTTCGGTTTGAAGACAGGCTACCGTACGTACCGCGTCTTCAAGCAGGCGTTTGGCTGATGCCGGCGATGTGAATGTGTGTCTGTGTTACATAGAGTGCTTGGTTGGCCAGGTGACTTGCGTGCACCTAACCACCCCAGTGACAAAGTGAGTCGGCGCTGCAAAGCCATACTCTCCTGCGGAGGACAGAACCATCGCCAACTTGCTCGTCGTGGGGCAAACCACTGCCAAGTGATCGCATCCCTCCGACGCGACTGGCCGAAGATCGTGAGCGCCGCCGCGACCGCTGAACGGTTAAACACACACGGGATAACCGAACTGCCCCAGGACTCCCTCAGGTCATAGAGAATCGCTGTAGGAATGCCACCTGGGACATCAAGTTTCAGCACCAGCGGCTACCAAAGCACAATAAAAATAGTAAGTACCCTTTTTGCAAAAAAATAAATAAATAATAAAATTAAAAAAAAGTTTGAACTGGTAGAAATAATATCCCTACATGTTTTTTTAGCTCTTAGAAAATGCAGGCTATCTTGTTTCAAACTCACAAAATTAAAAAGAAAAAAAATATTCACTTGTCTTCCTTTTACTGAATGTCACTCAAAACTAACTGATATGGCTCCTGTCAGCATTCTAAAGTTATTCGTTAATTCGATTTAATGTGAATAAAACAACTGGATTGATCATCTTCCCAATTGTGCATTTTTGATGAGGTGAAAATGACTGAATAACTGTTTCTAGATACGAGACAAGAGTGCCAGCTTCTAGCACTGTAAATACTATGTTTAGAAGCTATAGAATGTTTGCCATTCTGTGAAGTTTCAAAGAAATGTCCCAAGCTAGCTGTGTGGTGAAATTTTAACTGCTCTGCATCTCCATTGAATCTCCAATTTTAAGAATAATATGACTAAGGTGTAAGATATTTTATGCCTAGAGGACTGATGCATCTGTTGCAATGTTTCTATCCAACTACAGTGATTCCTCTGGCTCTCCTAGACCACTGCTACCAGTTCCAGTATCTCAATGTTGGGATGCTGAGGCAGTGTCGTGACCATGTTCCAGAGGTTGGCACTGGCTAGCACTCGGGAAGCAGTGGCGCCCCGGCACATATGGCCAAAGTCAATGGGATTGCCGTGTCCCCATGGATCCTGTGTAACCACGTGTTCCTGATACCATCCAACATGCTCGAGCCTTGCCCAATCCAGGACATCATCTTGTGCACGTCGATCGGTCAATTCCGTACATGCGACAACCCTCCCAGACTTCTCAGCATCACTCCCAACTTCTTATAGTGATGGATAAATTTCAGCCTACTGCTGACTTGGAGAATTAGAGTGGACACAGGGGCCATGGTTTCATTTACTTCATGCGTGAGTGAAGATGAAGCTATGAGCATGAGCATGTTGCCCTGAACGATGCTACCACTACATGATCGTGCATGCTTGGTAGCGGCATTGAAAGCCTGGATCTTGCACTTAAAATGAAACGGAATCTTGCGTCGTGAGTGTTGTGTGTGTGCATCTGGCAACATCGGCGAGTCAGCAGAAGTCAAGCCAAGGCGAGTCAAGCTGGTTTTACCGAACCGTTTGTCATTCCGGGGACTCGTCGTAAACCATGTGCCTCTTGTCTAACTCCTCTTTTCTGCATGGCCAAGTCGGCTGCCTGAATAAAGATTTGGGCAACGACAAGAATGAAGAAATTCAAACTCCGAGGCACGCAACCACACTTTTTTGAGCAGCGACAGCTTCGTGGCAACTTGGCAACGACGAGAGCATATGGCGAAAAAGGATGAGCCTAACATTGTCATCATGGGGCGGCTGAGACATCTCGAAGAGTTCCCCAAAAAGATTGAAGCGTGGCCCCTGTACCAGGAGCGACTAAACTTTTTCTTCATTGTGCACAACATCGTCGAGGAGTCCCCAATATGCGCAGTCCTGTGTAGCGTTTGTGGACCGACAATCTACTCCGTCATATGCTCGTTGTGTGTGCCAGTAGACTCCCTATGCGGTCATTGTGTTGGAGCTCACCGCCCACTTCACACCGTGCCTGTCAGTGATTGTTCAGTGCTTTGCGTTTCATAAGTGCAGCCAACAGCCTGGAGAAAGCATCGCGAATTTCGTCCCCGCCCCGCGCCGCTTCTCCGAACACTGCAACTTTGGTGAGACCTTGTCAGCCATGCTATAGGACCGTCTACTGTGTGGTGTCTTGGACAAAAGGGTGCAGCGTCGTCCCCTGGGCAAACCAGTGTTGGAGTTCAAAAAGGCGTTTGAGGCTGCAGATCCTTTGCCTTTGTAGGATTTGCAGCAATGACATTGATTTCCGTCAACAGCTTAAGGGGATACTGAAGCGAAACTTGAAATACACCTATTATGGTCAGAAATAGGTTCAATATGATCAATGATATTCATAAATCATAATCGCGCATTTGTATTTTGAACGGGTGGCTATATTTTTCACCCTAATGGGCCCGATTGGGCGCGCGCTCAAAAATCGGCCATCGGAGAGCGCGATGCGTCTTGGAATATTGGGCGCATTTGTGACGTCACTTGTGCCAGACGGGAAAGGTTACGGCGTGAATGTTGTGGTTACGAGCGTTGCCACTTGGTGGCGCGTCGACGATTGACGACCTGTGACAACGTGGCCGTTTGAGATGTGCAAGGGCTGCACGCACGCTGCACCACGGCAAGTCGGCAACCACGGCAGCACTGACAAAACCAGCTCTGAGGCCGGATTCTCAAAGCGAACTCACGACGAAAAAAGTGCGTACGACAAATTTGAGAGAGAACCCGTACTCTCGAAACGAAATTGTCGTAACCTTTGCGCAGGTTACGACAGCTCCGAAGCTGTCTTACGCACTTTTTACGATCAAATCAACAAGGCCGACAGCGTCGCTCAGTTACTTGGTATGGGCCACCAACGGACATTTATTTTTCTACGTGCTCTTCTCGTGCGTCCCGACTTCAACCAGCAAGAAAAAAGGAAGGAGTACTTAAAACAGACCACGACGATCAAGAACGCAGGATCCACAAACACACGTGAAGAGCTACAACGGCCACGATTCTGCCGACCGAGCGAGCTCGGCAGAATATAGTAGGCCTAGCAGCAACATCGACTCGGCGCACCGTTGCTCCGGCGGTCCTTGGCCAAGACCGTCTGTCCATGACCGGCTGGCCTGCTGAATGGAATATGCCCGCGCGACCCTTGTGGACCCTTACCGGATGAGTAGTTTGATCCCTGAACTAAATTTCAGAGGTCAATATTTTCCCCCTGTCATCTCGATCTCCTTGTTTTCCGAGACAGCGGTGACGAACGCTGTCGTCGAAAAGGGACTCTCATTGATTCTATCTCCTTGTTTTGTGTGATATAGAGCTCAAATAAACGCCATACGGATTACCTTCGCAACTCAGTATGTACACTCTGTTATTAGTATGCCATTTTTATTCTGACTCGACGCTACGTCACTGTCGAGCTATAGCAGTTCGTGGGAGCTACGCGATGTCGGTCTAACCTTTCTTTGCCGAGTGTCATGTCAGTATCGAGTTGCAATCATAAAAGATCGGTCCAGAAGCGCTTACCGAAACGCGGTCTAACAGAGCGAATCCAGCACTTCGATCAAACGTGCGTGTCCGCTCCGAGTGTGAACGGGTATTTGCGTGGCTCTTGCTGACACCCTCGTAGTTCAAACATATCCTTTTTAACGTCGGCTCGCAGCTCGCGACTCGCAGCAACTAATACCGGCCGTGCCAGAAGCATGCTCGGGTCGTGTCGTGCAAAGAGCCGCAACGAGAACGAGCTCACTGTAGCCAACTACGCTTTGGCTTTCTCCGCCAAGGCTTTGCAAACGCGTTCAGGCCTAGGCGAATTCTGCCGGCACGCCGTTTGGCCGCAGAACGGCGCTGCTATTATGCCACAAGTGATGTCACGAGAACTTCCCCCCATCCACCAGATGAGAATTTGAAATCGTTTAATTATGTTTAAAATTAGTTCTCCTGTGTTCTACAGCGCAATATTTATATTTCCGAGGTGGTGCCTGTCCCTAGCCCATATTTATGCAACAAGGTCGGCGCTAAAATTTCGTTTCACTGCCCCTTTAAAGGGGCACTCAAGTGGATTCTGAGATCGTCTATTTATTGGCATAACTCAGTCTATGGGCTTTAAGCATCCTGAATAACCCAAGATAGCATTCAAGGGCCCAGCCGGTTTTCATATTAAAAATCCAATTAAAGATTGTGGCACGCCA